TCTTGACTAGGTGGGCTTTATTGATTCCCGTCTATATTTTCTCTTTTCCCTCTCCCTTAACGAGAGAGCCTCTTGATTTTGTCTAAGGGCAGAAAACAGCAGCTTCTCTTTTTTGAAGGGTTGGATGGGTCCTACTAACATCAGTTATGTTTATTTTTGCTTTGTTTTAATATTTAGTTTGTTTTGGGGTTCACTCCTCCCTTTTATGATCATTCATCTGATTTGTATATACGTATTGTAAATAATTTTATCATCTCGTTGGGATGTGTTTTTTTTTCGTTTTTTTTTTTTTCAAATGAAACATGATAGAAATCTTAAATTATTCATGGTGGCTGCTAAAAAGTACAAGCTTATGCTTAACAAAGACAAATATTATTTTAGTCGTAAAAATATAAAACTACTTGGGTACATAATCAATAAAATAACATAAAACCTGATCCAGAATATCCATTACTCAGACTACCAGTCCCATGAGATTTACACACTCTACACCATGCATTAGGAATGTTCACTCACTATGCCCATTGGATATCGCCTTTTTCCATCTAACAAAATACACATTATCTCATAGCAGAGAAAGCATTTAATGAATTAAAGAGGGGCATATTATGAAAGCAGCCATTACTACGCCTGATCATACACTACCTCTATTAGTAGAGATAGATGCCTCAGAATGTGCCATAGCTGCCTCTTTAAGACAGTCGGTAGGCCCATAGCTTTTTTCTCTAGACCCCAAGATTACAAGGAACCCTCAAGATTAGATCTCTAAAGTGACAAATGGGTTTTGCAGAAGAGAGCCCACCCACTTACTGATAATTCAGAGGAGGAGCAAGCCATTTTAGAACCTTACGAAAACACAGCAGGATTAAATCCAGTTCTAGTGAGAAAGAGGAAGAACCTCATCATGCTCTTGGCAATCTGCCACAGCAAAGGATGCCTGTTCCATTCAAGGACTTCTTCCCTTTATAAGAATAAGGCAGGGGAGAATATGGTATGATCCATCTCCCCCATTAATGGATCTGTCCTGAACACATATATTCAAGAACTCTCCTGATATGCAGAGTTCATTAAAGCTTGTATTATCTCAAACAATTATACTACAGTTATATTATAAAACTAATAAGATAAAACAGAATCAATTTCTTTTTCCTTTCACTTTAAGGCCAAAAAGCGAGTTCTTTCTTTTGCAATCAGCTTTGATTAAGAAAAATTTTAAAATATGTATCTAATAGAGCTGTTTTTATTAATTTTATATCTTTTAATGAAACACACCAACCTTAAATGTGTCACAAAACCACATGTTCTTAAATTATTACAGCATTATTAACTAAAAATACACAATATCTGACTCTTGCTTATTTAAACGCAACATTGTCTTCACCAACTTTTCTGTATATGTATTTTTTAAATCATCCAATTCATAACTGAACACGGAGCAGTACACTCACATTGCAACATATTTCAAAGACTATCACTTTATTGTGGCTCAAATTTTTTCCCTTTAGATGTACTTCAAATTCTCAAAACTGCATTCTCAGACATTTTTCTAAGTCTAGTGATATTCTAAGTGATGGTTTCATTGATCCTTCTATTCTGAAAGGGAGAATAATGCTCATGAAAAGATTTCATTGGGTGGAGATGAATGTGCCATTCAATAAGTTGATATAACTTGTCAAATATTCCTTGGCCTACCAGATCACTAAGAAATGCCTAATCTTTAGCAAAAAAATCATTAAAGTATTTTATATAACTCCCCCATTATAGTTGTAAACAACAACATCCTGCCAGTGACTCTGAAATAAAAAATTCCCATATTGATTCATTTTCTGTCATCACCAATTTTATGTATAAAGTCACAACAAAAGATAGCCACATTGGTATAAAATACTTCTGGAAATATGGAGTATTTATATCTTCATGTGTCCCTTAACTAAAAGAATTAAAAAAAACTAGACAGATAATTAAGTACAGATAACAAGTCAATTCATAACACTAACGAGGTCATAAATTTTTTTTAGATTGTTTTAATTATCTTTATATATCTTTATAAAGTGAAAAGATTAAATTAGTAAACAAATTTAATCTTTTCACTTTATAAAAGATATAATTCTTATGTGTGATAATTAGTTTTTATTCCATGTCTGTTTAAATTATGTCACTATTTCAATGAGAAGTAGTGCTTTTTCTGCATTTTCAAAGTTGACAATTACATAATGGTGTTTTTAAAACTTGTTGCGCTCTGAGTTCTGATTCCTTACACATACCAAAATAGTCCCATCTTAAAGAAAATAGGATTTGAAGGTGTCTTTCACAAAAAATTTCTAAGTTGAAAACTTTACTGGATAAAATACTATAGAAATACAACACTTAAAAAACTTTAAATTGCACTGTCATGTAAAGCAATGACTTATCTTTAATAACCAATTTCATACAACTCAAGGGACATGAATAAAAAAAAATAGGTATACTGCATTCATTTTGTGCAGAACTGTAGGGTTTGAAACATCAAAATTTGTATTGCTAACTGAATGAACATTGCCAGCTGAACCCATTTTAAATCAGATTTGATTCATCAATGGATATTACACAGTATAAATCTTTCTTTTATATATTCTTTCATGATGCATTTTAAAACTGTATAAAGTACTTATTGTATTTTGTTCAAACTGTCACACTTGAATAACTTTTTAGAATTGTTCTTTTTTTATTTTCTTAAAATCATTAAAAAAAAATATAATAAAAAAAAAATATATATATATATATATATATATATAAATATATATATATATATATTCTTATATATATATATATAAACTGGATATATTTCTTAGTTTTTAATTTTTTCTCAGTCATGTTTTACTGTAAAAAATTAAAATAAAAGTTTTAAAAAGTGTTCTGTTTTCCTTTTAATGGTCATTCATGGCTGGCAATATTTTTCTCTAATTCTCAGGATTTGAGGATTAAATTGAAAATTTATTTATATTTTTTTCCCCAAAAATGAAACTGGATACATTTTATAAAATAAAAAATAAAGTGGATATATGTTTAAGCCTAATGCTAGCACAGAAGTGCTAGTCCACAAAAATTTTTAATGTAATTAGGTAATTTCATTTGACTTTTTTTTTAATGATTATTTGTTTATTAATTCAAGGAATTAGGTCTTATTTTGGACATTAAATTGAAATTATTACATTTCATAGGTCTTCAACTTTTACAACTCTGCGTTGTCTTTTTGTAATTTTTTTTTCTTCCTTAAGCTGTTATCATAATGGCATTATGGAAGTATAACATCTTTTTTTTAAGCAGGTATCTGTTTCTTTTCCTTTTATTTTTATTTATGTATTAGTGCTTTCCATGCCAAAGACCCCTAGGTAGGTGATTAATAAAATTTACATCTAATCTTTTCAGTGGATGAATTCAATGTCCTGAGAAGTAGTTTTCTTTTAAGTGTGAGAAGCAAGCTGAAGAAAACACAAAATTATTTGCATTTTATGGTGATTAAGTTAAAAACTGTGATGAAGGGAATAGGTATAACTTTTGTGACATAACTTTTAATGTAGCTTCATCTTCACCTCTAAAGGAACAAAGGAAGTAAGAAAAGGTACTCTGTGAATTTGAGTATTCAAACAACTATAGAATTTGTGATGAAGAAGAACCACTTTAAATGACTTTCAGTTACAAAGACCAAGGCCAATAGGTTGCAGTATACTATTACTCCAACTTTTACATTGACTAAATCATTGATATTACATCTCCATCCAGTAATGTAATCAAAATTTTAGTTCTAACCAAAGGCAAAAATGATTATTTTTGATGGCCTTTGTTGGATGATATTGCACAAGTGTCATCAACATTTGTCTTTAGATGGGACTTTGATATAATACCACTTTCAAAAAATTATAGGATATGGAGTGTTCCAGGAATATTGGTTATAGCAGATGCTTATAAACAAATTCAAACTGCAAATGTAGTAGGAACATCCCAACTGTCCAGAAAGTATTTTTCATCAGTAAATGTATTTTTTATTCATTTCAGTTTTTTTAGTTTGAATCATTTGTTTGAAGGATGGACCAATGATTTATTTCATGAAAAAAATTTGTAAGCCTTGTAGTCATTATTGTTCCTTTTTGACAAGTTAAAAACTACATAATTTCACAAAATTTTCCAAAATTAGATATGTGTATGAGAAAAGAACTGTTTTATTGAATTCCTCATCCCAAAATTAGTAAAGTTTCAGGCCATGTACCTTCAATAGATACTTTTTTATGGCAAGTTCAGGATGGTATACTTTTGACAGTTTCTGCCCTAAAAATTGTGCTTTTGTTTTTACATGATGTACTACTGAGAAAAACTATTTTATTTTTGTGAACACAGTTTTTCCTACAGTTTAGGTTTGTCTGATCTAATAATTATTGATTCATTTATTATTATATTTCTTTTAATTCAAGACTTATATGATATTACATTTGATTTTAAAGTAGTCTAAAACCTGCATCTTCAGTTATACACTGTTGAATTTGGTTTTAAAGCACACAAGGGGGAAAACTGACAAACTTTGAATGGTCATAACTTCGTTGCTAATTGAGCTACCAAGATAGATTTGGTATCATTGTTTGTTTTGTCAAGTTCTCTATACCTGTATTAAAGGTTTTTCAAAATATCAAAATAAAATTTTAGTTTAATATAAGCTGACTGTTAAATAATATATCTTTGTTATACATTATGAACTACTAGATTTAGAACTGAGCTTTTTTAGAAATTTTTGAATTCTAATTTTCAAGTGTTTCTTATAAAAATGAGAAATATGCTTTAAGCTGATCAGTAAGTATATATTCAATTAACACCATGCAGAGTAAAAGTTTAGTAGGAAATATCCACAGTAAACCAAACTTTTTAGATGTGAGTATGCAAAAGAAAAAGAAAAAAAAAGCCTAAAGGTTAAGGAAATGGTAAGGATTTAAGAATGTTATGTAATTGTTTTTGTAGTAACTTCTGTGTACCTGTCTGGGGGTTTATAATCATGCTTCCTGCTGGAATGGATTCAGAGCCAGAAATCACCAAGAAGTACTGAGACCTGAATTGCACTGGTGATGTCATTCCTGATAACGCAATAAGACAACCAATGTCATATATTACAAAATATAAAGCTAATTGATAGACAGCAGGAGTCATTAAAAATATTTCACAATGCAAATAAAACAATGTTTAAGTTTTATATCATTAAAAAATCTAAATGTTTTTAAAAATTATCTTTAAGTGAAAATAAATTCAGATTTGTTACAAAAAATTTAAGAATATGAAGGAGCTGCAAAAATTTATTCTTTTTTTATTTTTTTTTTTTATTCATCTAGAAAAAGATAAAATGAAACTAGATTTTTATGAAATCTTTACTATCCAAATAAAAAACATTATTAAGAAACGTACATTATTTATAATTTACATCAAAATATATGAAACGTTATACATATAAAAATTATTTCAGAATTAAGAATCAAAATTTATACAATTCCATTAATATAGGCTAGAATAAAAGTATAAAATAAGTTATTTTTTCTGATCTGAATAATGCATTTTTCCTCTATTGAAACCAAAATCTTTCTTAACAATTATGCAATAATAAAATATTTTCAACAAAATTTTTTATATGAGATCTTATAGGTTATTATTAAACTTATTTTAATCAAATACATTAAATTCAGAATTTGATACATCAATTATCACAGATAATAAAATTAGATGATACATAAATGAATTATTGGAAATAGTAGTTAGATTTTAAATTGCTTGGAAATAATAGTAAGATTTTAAAAAGATCTTAGCCCTTAATTGAGAAAGGAGCAAAGTTTGCAAAATAACATTTTTTAAGCACAGATGCTTTTAAAAAAAAGTACATTCTTTGTAAAGTAATGTATGTTTTTACTTTATTATTTTTTGTAAGATTTACTTACATTATCATATTTTCTGTACGATTTTAGTGACAAAGATATTTTTGAATATTAGTGATCTTAGACATATGGGAATATTAGTAATTGTATTCCTTACAATTAATCTAACAAAACACTGTACAAAAAAATAAATATTATAATAAATAAAAATTATAAAATAAACTTATGACTGACATTTTTTTCTTCAATTAGATATAAAATTAGAAACACAAAGCCTGGCAGATCACCTCTTGTCAATCTAATCTTGTTATTCACATGTATAAATCTGTTCCAAGGTGTTTAACTATTATGGTTCTATGCCAGTCTAAGCTAAGCTTGGCAAATATACATGCAAGTTGGATAACTATCAAGAGAAGATATTCCATGCACTCCACAGGTACACTAGAATACTACTTCATAGGACTTACTGAAAAAATGTAATCATCTTGCTATTTGCATTCGCTACCAGATAAAATAATATGTAGGTACAATAGGTAGGATCCAAGAAATTAGAATGGAAGTTTCAAATTCTGTTTTCTCAGTATAAATGTTTTCAATTGCAACAAGAAATACATAGAATAGACATAGAATGTGTCAACCTTTTGACAGTAACAACAATATAATTATTTCATAATTTCAAAATATATGACTAGCTGATGCCAGTATTATAAAACTACTACTCCATCTTCACCTTATCTTTTTCTTGGTATAACATTTTCTATACTGTCACTGTTATTTATTACTAATTTTACTGTCATATAAATACTTTTTATAATAATACTCAAGTTTGTTAAACATGACTGCTAGAGTCAACAGCATGAAATTGGAATTTTCAAGTAGCTTTTGATGAGATTTGAATTTGTATCCCATATCTGAAGCCTTTCTTTCTTTCTTTCTTAAGCATGATTGACCATGGAAGTGATGATGTAACAGCACAAATGTGCCATTTCTTTTTAACAACTAAAATAGATATTAATAGAGACATTTATAGTTTTGAAATTGAAATGGTGTAAAAAAATTAATTAAAAAAAAAAAAAAAAATTATAAAAATGCTTTTATCTAAAAAAATAAATAAAACAAACACAAACATCAAAGCCAATCAAATCATGGATCACACAAGATCTAATGTGAGTGTATTACCCTATTTGATAGCTCCCACCCATTTTACATTTAATATTAGTGTTATGGAGCTAGACAAGGTACAAGTACTGGTGTCTACATAAACATTAGCCTACCAGATATTTTAACTTCATAAAACTTGGGGAATATTTCTTGAGGTATATTTTGTGGAAAAAGTGCATATTATATAGCATTAAATAATTTTTAGAATAACAGGTTTCATTTATTTGTTCAAATTTGGTGGGGTGTTATTTATGAAACCAAGCTTGTAGCTGAAAGAGTTTCTTAATGGGGCTAGATGATGATGCTGGAGATAAGCCAGATTTAAATGCTGTTTTTCTAAGGAGTCAGCCTATCTCCATTTGGAAAATTGGTGCAATGCAATCTATGTTTTACTCTGCTGAACAATATATGCATACACACAGTTTGAAAAATAATGTATCTGTCTAATGAGAGTTATAACTCCTGAACTTGAAATATTTTGTTTTTTTTTATATTTGACATATAAGTATTTATATAGTTCTGAAATTAAAGTTAGAATTTTTGCAATATTTTAACAGACAGAAGCAGATAATTTGAGATTTTCTAAAAGAAAACAAGTCTCATTCAAATCATTTTATTCGTTGTTCAACCTCTGTTAAAACTTTTTTGGTTTAAAAAAAAAATGAAATAAGTGTATTCATTAATGAAAAAATGCAGTAATTATTATTTTGATAAAGGAGTATACATCTATACAAACATAAGAGTGGTAAAAAATGAAAAACAAAATTAAAAAAAAAACAAATTGGTTAAATTATTCATCATCTTAGATTGCACAATTATATAATTTATTAAAAGGGTATACTTTTTTTAAAACTATTATTTTTAAAAATTACTTTCAGTATTTTATAATAATCTCAGCAGAAATTTACTAAGAATGATATAACAATGTTTAGAAACTGACAAAATTCTAAAGAAATAACAAGGAAACAAAACTATTTATTTCTTGCCCAATTGAGGGAAATTGACCAATGAACTAAGAGCCTATATATTCAGCATATCGGAGCAAAGAATAATACTTCATGAAATTTTGTGATTTTTCAGTGATCCATTATATATTTCTGCACAAAAACAATTATTTACTTTACGTGAATTCATTTTTCATATTAATTATGAAACATTAATTTCTATGGAAAATGTTTCAAATGATTTTCTCTATAGCTTAAGCAAAGAATAGTATTTACAAACATCTAAAATGACAGATCAAATAAAGTTTATTTGTAAGATATGAAATTAAATTATAAGAATGAGAAGAGATATGAGATTTATAAAAAATATTAACACCATTTACCTGTTGTATTGTTCTGCAGAGGAGATTGAACAGAAGTAGAGGAGGAATTGCTTCCAGCAGAATGGGGGCTAGTAACACTAACACTGTTCCGAGGTGGGGTGCAAGGAATTGTAGGCATTGGACTCCCAAGACAACTTGAAGTCCCACTGCTTATAGAATCTAACAAAAATTATACCAAATGAACAAAAGTGATATAGTTATTTGATAAATGACGAAGGAGTATGCATCTATACGAACATAAAAAGCAACAATACCCATTGAACTAAAAAAAAAAATGAAAGTTTTTCTTTATTCAAAATATAAACATAGAAATTAGTTAAAATTTATGCTGCACTGGATTGTAAAATATATTCATCCAATAAAAATATTATGAAAAGAGATAATTAAAAAAGTAAAAATCTGTATTATATGTGAAGCAATCCACATTGAAAACTTTACATTTTAACTTTTGATGTTTAAGCTTTAAACTATTTATAAAAATATTTAATTCATCAGCATGAAGCTTTCAACAAAAAATAAGTTTTTTAAAAGAAAAAATTAATAATCTTTTCAAAAAGAATGCTTAAGAATTTTTACTTTTGCACATGTCCTGAAATTTAACATCACAGATCAAGCAATTAGGTAAGTCGATAGAAAGTGGAGTCAAGCAGTAACTTTGTTGCTCAATAAAGTTTTAAAATGTGTCTTATTTCTACTAAATAAACAGAACAAGCTCAAACAAACTCTGCTGTTTTTGAATAGTTTTTTTTATAAATATTGTTTGAAATTCTATGATGAGTCATCATTAATTTGAATTATTTGAACTATTACTATCATGAATAACTTTTGAAATTAACAGAAATATATTTTTAACCAAGTTTGTAAATGATTATTTGTAATTTTTAAAAATTTAGGATGTGGGCAGCTGTTGTACAATCAAGATGTCATAACACTAGATCTGTTTTGCTAATTTTTCTTGGAATTTTTTAGATTGTGAATGTTCATTATTATTCACTTTGCTATTCAGACCAGCATATTCATCTTGGTTGTTATACTCACATGAATGTATTTTGTTTTCATTTTCCATTCTATGCTTAGGGAATATTTCATATTGGTGACTACTTATCATTCTTATTCACCTTTGTGTCTGTGTCATTCACTGAACCAGTAATGGTGAATACTTTGATAATATGACTACAGAAAAATCACTTATCATGTAGCTCAGATATATAGATGGCACTTTCATTATCTGGCTCCATCAAGAAAATATGTAAATAGTGCTGGATCATGTAAACTTAGTAAAACCTTCCATACATTTCTTAATGAATAAAAAGGTAGAATAAAAAGGTAGAACAAATGGACTTCTTGGATGTACTAAGGTTATTGGGTTCAAGACATATCAAAACCAATATTCACTGGACAAAACTTGAAATTAAATTCCTGCCATCCATAGTGTCAAGAAAGGGATTGTCTATTGCCTACCTTGGGCCAAACTTATAAATGGTGAACCAGACACATACCAATAAGAGATGATCAAAACTTGGAAAAACCCTTCAGGGTAACAACTACTGTTCAAGCTTCCATAAGCAGAGGCAGAAGAGATAACAATAAAAAAATTCTGCCACTGCCCTTTCTACCATACATCTGAAAATATTTGTGGTTCATTCAACATCAGGATGGTATTTAAAAGTATAAGGCCACTTCAGAAGAAAATATGACTAACAGCTGTGTGTATTCCATCTCATGCAATTTGGCAAGAACTACAAAGAAGAGACTAGCCAGCTACTAAAAGTGAGGATAAATATTGAAAAATTGCTGTTTGTAAAAAGACATTGAAATCAGACATGGTTTAACTTATATGGATGGAAAAGGACAGTTTATCAACCCTTGTAGAATGAAGTCAAAATAATAGAGACAAATATTGGACTGAAAAAATCAATGTTAGGCACTGAAAACCTCCCCAGTAAATCATACATAAAGATGGATAACATCTGGAGGGCCTCTGATTAATAAAAAAAAGGACCCTTAAAAAAAATTCTGCTACTCAAGTCAAGACACTCATATAGTTCTACCACCTGAATAAAAACATTGTTTACAGCTCCAAAATGTCAACATTGGGTTATCCAAGACACACATGGCTTAGTGGATTAAAGCATTGGTTAAAACATATTTGTGGATTCAATCCCTAGGTTTAGTTGTGCTGAAAAGTTTCAGTGGAAGAAACAAAAAAGTGACACAAAGTTGAATAAGATTGGTTATTATTATATAAAATATCTCCTAAGTGTGGAAAATAAAATGAGAACAAGCTGATCTGAATGTAGCCCATAAGTCTGCTATAGTAGTAGGCTTACTGTCAACAATGAGTGATTTTTAACTCTAGGGAAAAATCCAGTATTTAAAATGCTGATTTTTTTAAGGCTAACATCTTCTTTCAGCATTCTTGAACAACAGATCGGCTTGAAGCTAAGTGAAGGTTAGTCAATATAAGGATGTCACATCATTATTGTCAATTTTCTTTGAGCCTTTATTACTTTTATCCATTTTCTTAGTTTAAATGGTTTTGCTGTAATAGTTGAATCTTTGACTAAAAAAAAAACAATGTTATCTGATTAGCCTCAAGATGTGCAATTATGGTTTTCATCACCGAATTACATATTACACAATAAGGCAAAAACTGAAGGTTACATTCAATTTAACATAGTGTTATTATTTAATAAGATTTTCTCATGCACTTGAGAGATTTAAGATGTCAAATTTTGATATACAACAAAAAAGAAAAAAAAATCAAAGGAAAGTCCTTTATAGTTATGTTTATGATACCACAAAATTGAATAGCAAATATTTTTGGAAATTAATCTTTTTTACTGGTTCATGTTCAAAATGACAAAAGCAAAAAAAAAAAAACTGTTTTTATTAAGTAAAGAAGAAATAACAATAAAGAAACTTGCTTCTGCTATATAGATTCCTTTGGGTTTAATGGAAAGATAATCTGTACATTGAAAACAAAAGATTATCATTTGAAGCAAAGTTGTTATGGTTGGGTAAAGAGTCACAAGTTGTCAAAGTTTCTGCATTTGTTTTAGAAATTTGAAAAAAATAGAAATATTCCTAAATAAGAAGACATTATATAAATGAAAAATATCAAAGCAAAAATAATTCTTAATATTAAATATTTGAATAGTATAAAAAACTGACAAAAGCTACAAACCTGTTTTTGACAAACTGTTGCCACGAAATATTCCAGCTTTAATACTATGAGAATTTGAAAAGCCTCCAAAACTTCCAGCTTTTGTGACAGGGACTCTTGATTTTACTGAGCTATCAGTGCCATAGCCACTTGATGAATCAGTGCTACTCCAAGGTCGAGATCCAAGATCTTCTTTGCTTCCTCCTAAGCTTGCAGGTCGAGAAAGTTTCCTCCTGCAATGCAAACAATGAAAATTGTTTATGTAGAATGCAGAATACACTCATATCTTTCATTTTATGAATAAAACTTATAGCCCTCCAAAAAGCAGAATATGGTTAACTTTTACAATCTGTCCCCTTGAAAAATTCAAACTATAGCCTTGCTTTTGAAAAAAGAAAGGAAGCAAACATCCTAATGTTAATAATTATTAATATAAGGAAGTGCTGGAAATTTCTTAGCATAACTCACTTCCCAAAATCTGACCAAAAGAGTAAAAGTTGTTTTTTTTTAAATCTCTTCTTACTCAAATCCAAAGCATTTTAGCATCTTCTTATATATCAATACTATAAGTTGTGTTAAAGCATATGAAACTAAAAATACAAACCAAATTTTAAAAACTTTATTTGAAAACAAGATAACAAACTGAAATAGATTGAAAATACATTTACAGTTAGATTCTTCATTTCTACTATTAATTTAAGGGCAAAAACACTGGCAAAACTACTGTGGAAACAAATAATTTTCAAGAAAAAGCAAATACATTACCATCAATACCTCCAAATCAAATGGGCAAGTACAAGTTAGTAATCTATAGCTGTGAATAATGGAAAAAATCTTAAACTGAGAAGAAAGGAGCTCTCAAAGAACAGATTTTCTTCAGAAATTACATTTTAATTTCTTTTTTTGGGATTAGAAAATATTTCCTCCACACTTGTTACAGAGACATCAATTTTCCAGCAACAAGTAGTCTGGTACATTACAGAACCTGAATAAAATGACAAAAGGCAGACAAAACTGGTATGGTAGATCTACTTGTTTCCTATTATAAGACAAAAAAAATTGTATTATTAACAATATGAATGTGCTTGCTCAGTTTTTTTTCATGTTATGCTTTAATTTTGTAATTTTTCAAACTTATTTTAAATATATAGTTGGGGTTCAGTTTTTAACAGCTAAAAATTATTTTAAAATTGCACAGATTAATTTTTGTAGAATTTTTTAGTTTTACATTTGTAAATATCTTGCAAATATCATAAAATGGGCAGAAAAGAAATCATTATTAAAATTGTTACAAAAGATTTAAAATTACTTGCCTGCTTTTCTGAACTTAGGAATGATAATACATTTTAGAGAAAATTATTATGCACACAATAATTTGGATACCATATGTACTACTACTTTTATGGACTATGTCCCTCCACAACTTTCTATTTTCTGTAGCTCTTAGCATTGATCTTTTTTTTTTCTGGTTTGCCAGCCATTTAAACAAATTTGTTAGATCACTGTTTTCCTCTGTCACTCTTAACTTCAATGTCTTGTAAGTGTCAAATTCTTCAAGCCCTACATCCTCATTACAAGTTTTAAAAATTTGGAACTGTATCTTTCTCATTCTAAGTAGGCATTTTTTTTGTTTCCATTTCCTTAAAACTGTCTTGTTGCTTATATAATTCATCCAAAGTATTCTCAGTATTATTCTGTAGAAATACATCTTTGTTGTCTCTTCTTTATTTGTTATGAAATTGTCCAGTATTCACTGACATATATGAGGATATTGCATAGCAGTTTAGTACTATTTTCTTTCTTTCATTCTAATGAAATCTTCCTTTCTTAATACGTTTTTAGCTTTTAGAAGGCATCTTTCATTATTCCAATGCATTAAGATTTCAGTATTGCATTACCATCATCTGTTAAAACACTTTCAAATATTTAAATTTAATGTCATGCCCTTCTAATATCTATTATAAGCTTAAAATAATTTTATCTCAAAAATACTAGTGATGAAAATTACTAAATGAATAAATGGATGAAAAGTTTTAGCTCCATTTTTAAAAGTAAAAACATTCTTATTTTCAGTGTCTTTTCTTTGAGGTCTTCTGATGGTAAAAATTTTGTGGCTTATTTGCAAAAATTTCTGATATCAAATAAATATTTTCATAGAAAAAACAATTCATAAGCAAATGAAATATGAACAAGAAACAATTTTTATAACTTACATAATATTCAGCTGCGGATCATCCATTGATGCTTGTGGGGACTAAAATAAATAAATAAATTGTTGTATAGCTGATGAAAAAAAAATTACAATTTATTGGTTAATTTACATAATTTAGCAATAAAATTGAAAGTTTTTTTTTTTTACTTATAATCTTTCACTCTGCAACTTGTAGAATATATTCCAAGATTCTTTTTAGAGAAGATAGAAAAGATATAAAATTTTTAATACATAATCAACAGTAGTGCTATTTGTGACCTGCTCAAACTGATACTACCAGCATCAGTGTGTATATCTATAAAGGTCTTTTGGACACTGGACAATGTTATAATTACATCAAACAACTTTATGGTACCAATATGTCTGGCAAATTCACAATACATTATAAGTGAATACTAGTTGAATTATATTTTATTAATAATGAAGCATTTTTTTATTACAAAAAATGCTTCATTATTAATAAATATCAGCTTTTTTTTATAATTTTAGAAAGTAGAAAATGCACTTGAATTCTAGAGCAACTCCAGTATCCGAAGAAAAGAGAAAGGTGCAACAAAGCAGAAACAAAAACATTCCAGTGATTTGCTCTGTCTGTAATTCCATAGCAACTAGCAACAAATCAACATCATTAGCCAAGATGTATCATGTGCTGTGACAGAACAAGGGAAGTTGCATCAAAAGTAATTGTAGGAAAAAAACTTTAAATTTATTGTCACAATCAATGCCTGCAATCAGTTTCTTCTCTCTTGTCTGCGACACTCGTAGCCAGTTCAACACAGCAGTCAACCATCTTTTTTCTTCATTCCCTTGTCGCCTAATTCATCCTTTTTTTTAATATGTAATTGATGGCCAAAAGTTGCATATGCACAAAGATAATCTTGCGAGAGAGTATCTTACTCTGAGATCTAACTATTTTAAATATGTGACCAGTGAATCTGCCATTTCTTTCTCCTTTGGACAGTTTACACTGTGAGACATGTTCAAATCTTTGTATGCACTGGAGGTGAGTTATTTTATTGATTTAATTCTAGCGTTGAAAAACAATACACGAAACCCTGGGCCTCTTTGCCTTCTGCAGCAGTTCACTACACTCCCTCCTGATCTCAAGATCACAGCAAATGCAATTAGAGTGAGGTCTCTTCTGTCAGGAGAATTGTCTGGCAAAGTCAATCTCAAGTCAACTAACAGTTCATTCTCTGTTGAATCACCTTCATGTTCAGATAGAGAATACAACCCCTGAAAAGAATGCACACATGCCAGGGAATTCCGTCAACCTGTACCGACTGTGAACTGTTACCCTTGGTTATGTGGCCCATCTTAAACTTAGTCATACACCTCCCTTGTGGAGGTTTAACCAAAACAATGTCTCCCATCTTGTGTACTCCCCAAGTATTCCATGGTTCAGGTGGAGGCATTGTATGAATCCCCCATACGTGGACTTATACTTATGTAATGTGCCTGTTGGTGCTGTAGATGGTGAGAGGTTGTCCTAAGGCATGATGTTATGCCAGTAAACTGCCTCTGATATGGGACACTGCTTTCTAGTGGCAATGGTTTTAATGCTTCTGTGACTCCTTTCAACAATAACATTTCCACTAAGTGTATAAGCATATCAGAATTGAAGTTGCATCTCACAGTCACTGAGGAATTTTTTGAAGTGCCCACATGTGAAAGACATGTCATTCTAAGTTAAAATTTTGGTCTGTGAATCCCACTAAAAAAATTGATGCTAATTGGTTAATGACACTGGTGGAGCCTTGTCGACAAAGCAGTTGCCATATTGCAAATCGAGATGGACGCCAATCAATAAGAGTTAGGAAGTGTTCACTGCCGTAGTATGTGATATCCATCATTAACCTGCTCCAGTTATTATGCACTCCCAGCTTTCCTTTCTGCCAGTGTACTGGCGTCGAGTCAATAGATTGGCAAGCTTCACAATTCTTGAGGATTGACTTTGCAACTGTTGTTGGTACTGGAGGGTCGACAGACCTGGCAAAATACAGTGTCCTCTTCATACCCAGGTGCCCACTTTGTTGGTGGATTTCTTAACCAGCCATACATGAGAAAGTGTCCCACAAGTTGTCCACACAGAGAAAACATGCTTCAGTGAGTAATGACCTCTGGAAAGTCCAGGACTTTACTTCCTTGCTTCCTTTGGAAAGTACCGTTTTTCCCCCTACCAGACATACAGGCCCAATACTCTGGTCCTGTCTTTCAGTCTCTCTGGGTCTTTGCAAATAAGTCCATAATTGGATAGATGGTTCCTCACCTGTGCAGTAGAAACCAAAACACCATTGATAAAAATGTCATCTATATAAGTTGATGTGGCCTTTTTGATTGACATGCTCTGGGACATGACTAAGACTATGATAGCCCTCATAATGAGAGGTGCAACATGTAAGCCAAATCCCAATCATGTAAGGCAATACCTCTTGCTCTTGATCAGCATGGTTTGAAAGGGCTCACTTTCAGGATATGGCAGCAGCCATTCATTTTCTAGCCACAGCTGCAGTTCTTTATCATATTTGTCCTGGACAGTGACAGGCACAGTGTATTCTGGCACAAGGTTCTTCAGTCTTTTGGATGTTTGACCACTGACTCATTTCTACAAGGCAGCCCAAACGTTCTTCTGGTGGTCAAATTACACACTAAAGTCAGGTTGGTTGATGGAAATGGTGGCATACTGGAGTATGTCTTCCTCGGGGACCTCTTTTAATTTAATGATGCACAATCCCCAAAAGCAGGTAAAATCATAGCAATTTTCAATCTACAACTAGGACTTTGATGTTCATGGGTTGAGCACGACCAACATCCAATTTGACTGTGCCATACCCATGAACCCTCAGCAACTTCCTATCACCTGTCAGCACATTCACTTCCTGGTGTCAACAAAGGTGGTATACAGATTTGCTCACTAGTGCCTGCAAGCAGCCAGAGTCTATGAGGGCTACACACTTTTGTTCATCTATGAGCACTTATGTCTGGTAGTGCATTGTGCTTTACTTTTTTGGGGAGGACACTAGTGCTGAACCTTGAACAGTTTCACTGGCACTCAGATGAGGTGTATCCAATCTTGTTGCAATGAAAGCAACATACTTCAAGGTGCAATCTTTGCATCTGGTTATCTCATCCCTCCAGGCATTTTTGTTTACAGTCCTTAGCAAAGTGGTTGGGACCAGAGCACTTAAAACAAATTATACTATCCTTGAAGCCAAAAGGAGATGTCTCAGCCTGTGTTTGTTTAATAAATGCAGCAACTAACTCTTCAGGATTTTGGTTATCAGTCATAATGGCCCTTGCCTGAGTTAGATGTTGCTCCAAGGTCATAGTCTCTATTCTGGACAATGCTCTAAGAAGCGATCTAACATCCTGTGGAAGGCCAGACACAAATGTGCATACCATCCATTACTCAGGCAACTGTCTGCCAATCAGCCAAGTCAAGAACTGTAGCTCCACCAAAAATTCATCAACAGTTTCTCCAGTACAAAGTCGACTTATCATGAACTGGTCAAATGCATTGAAGGAGACCATTGTATATATGGTCACAAAGGCTTGCTTTATCTGCTCTGCATCTGACTTCTGCCCCTTACTTAGTTGCCGGTATATAGACCCTCCCCAATCGTAATGGCAGGAGACACTCGATCATCCTGATGTTGCACAGCTCACACACTAACTCAACATTCTCAATCCACTCCATGCTTGGTAAATTGGTGCTGCTAAATTCAGGGATAAATCTGATATCAAACACCTTTTCTGCCATCTTGTAGAAAAATTCAGAATTTCAGTTGAAATACTTGTAGGAAAATATTGTTGCAATCAGTTTCTTCTATCTCATCCGCAACAATTGTCTTTTTTCCTCACTCTCTTGTTACCATGTTCTTCCCATTTTTATGCATCATTAACAGCCAAAATTTGCCTATGCACAAAGATAATCTCATGAGAGAATATCTTACTCTGAGATCTAACTATTTTAAATATACAACCCGTGAATCTGCCCTTTCTTTCTCCTTTGGACAGTTTACACTGTGAGGCACATTCAAATCTTTGCTTGCACTGGAGGTAAGTTATTTTATTCTTGATTTTATTCTAGCACTGAAAAAATATGTACAACCCTGGGTTTCTTTACCCTCTGCAGTAATTCACTACAGTACTTGCGAAAACTGATATATGTATAGTAAATCCACTGAAAAAGGCCTCTAAGTAAAAAAAAAAAAGGATGATAAATCCTAAAAAAAAAGAAAAAATCAGAAGTACATCATAATGTGAGTTGAACATCTGGAATCTTAAAATTATACATCCAACTGCTCAATTTTCTCCATGAGCTAATCAACACTCAACTAGTCCACACATTTGTCAACATTTTATTTTTTTTCTCAAACTTGTAATCGTTTAGCTTACTCAGTGTTTGTCTTCTTATTTAAAGGTTTACATTAAATTGCTTAACATCTCTATAAATTGTTTTTCCAAACTTATTCTCAGTGAGTGGCAGTGAATTACATGCTGATTACAGACAATTCCATAACAATACTCTTGTTTATTCATTCAAACTTTAGCTCATATTTGGGTATTTTTTGGTAAAAAAATGTTTTTTTATAACATTTTTATGCTATAAGCAGTTATATCACCAGAAACACATGACAACCATGTTCTGTAATTGTATTTTACAATATGAATTTTGTTTTACTTCATGATTCTGTAAATGTAAACAAAATCATCTTAAACTGAAAGAGACAGCATTTGACATACAGATGCACCAACGTAATGTTTTTTAGAAGAATAGCAAAAACAAAATCCACTTCAAAACATAAATAAATAAAAAGCTACTATTTATATGCATCTTTGACCTCATTACCACTTTTAAATCTAGCACCATTAAATATCTACATGAAAAAATTCCCAAACAAATAGAGATATGTAGATACACTTAGGTAACAATGTTCCAATAGGAAATGCAAGAAAGAGTGCTACCTTGCATTATTTTGAAGTAGGTCCTAGAAATATCTTATGGGTATGTTTACTTATTTTAAGAGATTAAACAATGGCAACAAAAACTTTCCAGCAAGGTGATGACATACTGGAAGGACAAGATCAAGCATGGAAAACAGTACACCTAATCACATGTTGAATAGTGCCAGATCTATTTCCCCCAAATTTTCTAAATGATCAAACATCAAATTTTCTTTGGAAGAGCTTCTTGATCAAGTTAAAAAATTTTCAGTACTTAATAAGAGCTATGAATTTATTTATCACATCCCTTATTCATTTAACCAAGCACCAGATAACCAAATAACATTCTTTCTCTAAACTTGGAAAAAAAAACCCTACTTAGTTGGTATATAAAAGTATCATACTTATTATAAAACCCAGGTTGTGTGTGTGTGGTGTGTGCGTGTATGTCTGTACATTTATATATCGGATTTCCTACATTTTTCAACCGATTTCAACAAAACTTCACAGGACTATGTAAAATTACCTTGCGGTGGTTCTGACAGCACCAAAAATTGGAAAAGCACAATTGTTTTTGCACAAAATCAATTTGAAAACACGATTAAGGGGATCGCGAGAATGAAAGGGGGAAAACTCATATTGAGTTATACTTATACAACCCAGGTTGTTTGTTTGTGTGTGTGTGTGTTCGTTTATATATGGGATCAGATTTCCTACATTTTTCAATCGATTTCAACTCTACATTTTTTTTGGCAGGTAGTGTTTCTTATTGTCTTGCACACTTTTTTCTTTATTTTTACATTCAGAATGCTTTAAAAATTCCATTTACAAGACAATTGTTTATAATAAAATTCTATTCAATCGGTAGACTCATAATGATTGAAAACAATGTTTTTGTTTGAGTTTGGGTTTGACCAATTCATAAAAAAAAACAAAAAAAAAACTACTTAAAACATGCGTGTCCGTCAACCTTAAACAATAATCTTTGTCAATTTTATTTTTCAGTCTTTATGATGGTCGATACTTGATCTATCTCTTACTGTTACATCCCTGGGCAACGCCGGGCTCTACTGCTAGTATCTAATGAAAATAAAAACTGTCTGGATTCAAATTTCAGCACAAAGTTCCACAAATATAGGAAACCATATCTGTATAAAATTTTTAGCTAAAAACTTTGGTTAACTTAAATGTATAGATACTAAATCTTTTAATGCTTTATCTATTTCATGTACAGAAATTATAACAGCAAGTTATATAACATTTTGAGAAGCATTATGACTATAAATCTCATGAAAGAAACTGGCAGATAGCTAACATTGTATCATTATTAGATTTTGTCTGCTATTTAATTACAAAATAATGTAACAAAAATAGCTCATGATATAAACAAAATAAAAACTGAAAAATCATGCTCAGCATATGTTAGTACTTATAATTTTAAAAAAGTACAATCAATAAGTTTAAATAAATGAATAATTCCTTATCAAGGATAAATTTATACTACAAAGTGGTTAAATTTGCAGCAATATTAGGGTGCATTCAATAAAAAAATTGATAGTTAAATATATATTTAAATATTATAATTAAAAATATATACAATCATATAGATATATGGAATTAAATTGTATCAACTTAATCTCCAAAATATTCTGCAATTATTTAAGTTCATATTTAAAAATACTATGTGTAAATTGGAAGTTATTTTAAAAGATTTTTTAAAATATTTACTTTAAATATCCGTGCCCGTGTTTCATTGTATTCCTGTAATCTTTCTTCTAAAGATTTAGTTCTTGAAGTTCTTGACAGATGTGGTTTCTCCATAGTGTGAGTCTGAAAATATATTTATACTCTATCAAAAGTAGAAAAAAAAACCTAAGTTTTATATTTATTGAAGTAAGTGTTAATGCAATACTATTCCTTGTAATTCAATTTAACCTTATGCTATAATCAATTTATAGAGATATGCAAGCATCTATGGGTGGGGATTACAATACTAAAACTTTCACTTTGAATATGTTAAAATTTTTGTCTTATATGTATATCCTATTTGAGAATATCAAAACTGACAAAATGAATAAACATATTTGTATATGTTTCAAGTCTCCCTTTAAATTTTCAGTAATGAAACAAGAACTGTCTGTTTTAAAAATCTCTATTAGATGTATTTACTTTTTAAGCACTCGATGCAATTTTTATTTAAAATAACCACTGCAAATGTTAGCAGACTAAAAAGAAAAAGAAATAATAAAAATTTCAAACCTTCAAGCAACACTTTATAAAAAATATTTCAAATTTTAAATTATTTGAAAAACATTTTAAATTAAATATCTAATCCTTTCACTCATATTAAAAATTAATTATGTGGACAAATTACCAATACCAGAAAAATATTTTACCTACATTCTATAAACCCCAAAATTTTTTGCTGCATAGATATAAAGCAATATTTTTACTTTTCTACTGGCCATTCTATTTTAAATACTAGACATTTTGGCAATTTAGGAAAGAGACATAATTTTACAAATAGCAAATTAAAGCTTGCATACCCCTACATTGCAGCTCCGTAATAAAATGAAGCAAAGTCTAGTGACTTCTAAGAAAAGAATTTTGCTATTGGCAACAAAAGGTAAGAATAAATACCCAAAGAACAAATAAAAGCATAGTGTCACAAAAAATGTAAACAAGAGAGTATAAATTATTTGCATAAAGTAAATTTATAGAATGTACTTATTTAAAAAATATTGGGGTGTAAATATTTGTTCAATAAACAAATAAAAAAATGTGTAAAAAGTGAGAAAATGTTATGAATAAAATTTATAAGAAAAAGTACCATCATTTAGTATGTACACACACACAATGATAGTAGACAAAAAATTAATAGAGGTACATTGTTAGCACTGCAAGTTTTTATCCAACACTGATAATAAGGTTTGAACTGACTAGTCATCAATATAAATTATTTTGTGGAAAGATATTTATTAGATGAGCCTTAAATAAGCATTGTTACAGCAGTTACAAAGAAAAAGTAAAAAATGTGGAAGAGCGCATAGAAGTTGCATCCTATATAGTACATGATTGTGATACAATTGTTGGTCAATGTTGGGCATTTCAGACTATTAGTTATTTCCCACTCATTACATCCTGTCATTATTATATTACAAGTGATGGTGAATATTGTTTGAGCAGTAAAAGAATTCATTCACTTCCTTATGTTGCTTTATTTCTCTCTCTCTTTGTTATATACAATACAAACTAATTTGCCTTCCTTTTAATGATCATTTTAACCATGCTCAATGATGAAATACCCTATTTACATGATCTGTAATGATAAAAATAAAATTACAAATCTACACTCAACTGTAGAAATTATTCCATAAATTATCTTCAAGGAATTAAAGTGTATACAATATGCTTCTCTTGTATGAAAAATATAAGTTCAATATATAAGGTATGATGTAGTTAATAAATAAAATTAAAACCTTTCTCCCCATAGTAAAAACCAATTGAAACAAACATCTAGTGAGTACAATATTTTTTCTAACTTATAAAAAACTATTCAAAGGGTAAATTTGCACAGAATCAGTTATGAAAACTCAACATTAATATATAAATTTTCTTTTTCTGCTTGACAATGAAATTTCTCTGCAAAATATATTGAAAAACAAAATATTTTTACTTCTTCCAAACTGCCATTTCTCTTCAAGATTTGTTTCTTCCCAACTTGAGTATCAACATCTTGTATATGTTCCTGAAAACTAAATTCTGGTCTACAAAAAGAGAAGAGAAAAATATAAAAACTTTCATATATTATCTAGTTTTGATAAAATTTAATTGAAAAGCATAGCTGCTAAAAATACATGTGCATAATAGCAGTTGAATAATTTATAATATATGTATATTTGCATATGTTAAAAACATTTTAATCATTTTTATAGTAAGAAAAAGCATTAAAACAAGAAAAATATTTCTTCTTAATATTTAATAAAGTCTTTCTAATGTTTACAAGTAGAAATTAATATATTTTAGAACACTTCTACAAACATTAGCTAGCCTTTTAAAAAATATTGTTGATCTAAATTTGCTTTTGATTATTTTATTGATCAATTATCACCATTATCTAATTGTTTTATTTTAATTTAACATCTCACACTGTATAACATTTTGATCACTTTCAATATGCAAAGTTTTCTGATAAAATATTCTGCATTAAAAGAAAACATTATATATAAAATGGCAGATATGTTTGAAATATGAAAGCTTTATAAATCAGCATTTACAGGCACTGTAACACATTGCTTATGTAAGATCATGTTATAAAATGTAATAATATAAATGCATTTACAGATGGGATTATTTTTTTGTTTACAGTTTTCTGGCTAACATAGTACTACATAGTTATGCTTACTGTTAATATGGAAATATTTAGTAACTGTTGTTGTTTTAAGAAGTATTTCAAAAAGTGTTTTAAAGAAGCCATTGTTATAATCTCTATCTATAAAAGGCAGGATGTGTGTGTGTGTGTGTGTGTGTGTGTGTGTGTATAACGAATGCACAGCCGCAATTTTCGACAGATTTGCACCAAAATTTACATGCACATGCACCAAGAGTTGCATTTCCCAACTCCCATCAATAGTGGAAATAATCGATTTTTTCATGCTTCTACAGCAGTTTTCATGTAGTTTGCGGCCATTTTCTACTGGCCAGAGTGAGAGCCTGTAGCTGGCTGCCACGAATAGGCAAGAAGATTCTACTGGCCAGCATGAGAGCCAACAGCTGACTGACATGAATGTTAACTAGCATGCTAGCATGCAAAAAAATCGATAGCTGCATTCGTCACAAGTGGGAAAAATTTAAATCTGCATGGCACTTTACTCCAATTGGCTCATTCACTTGCTTAAACTCAACGTTGATTCTGATTCCACAGAACTGGGTTGGGTGTGAAAAAGTATTTGTTGTTAACATTCTTTTTTCATTTGGTTCTTCCAGTTATGAGTCCTTTTTTAAAGCTGATCGTTTTGTATTCATTTTGTTTAGTTCTTTTTTTGTAACAGATTTATTGTTTAGTATAGAGCTTAGAAAAAATTTGCAGTGTGAGATAGGCAAGAAGTAAGGCATGTAGCAACATCAGCACAGCAAAGGGCACTCCTTTAAAGGCAAGGAAGGGCAAAAATATTTTAAGTCAAGTGATAGCGATTGCTGTATGAGTCGTATGATTTTTGAATCAAGCACGAGCAACACCGGGACATGCTAGTATACAATATAGCAAAGTTGTTTTTTTGGTTTTGATACTTCCTTTCTCACATTAGATTTATTAGAAGAACCTATCTCACCCATTTAAAATATTATATAATCTTGTTCAAATAATGGATTCCACAACTGCAATTGCAAATTCAGTGTTATTAATATAATTGATAACTTATTAGATAGGATCACAATTCACTGCAATTTAATGCTCTCTCATCAAGTGTATTATCAAAAGAAACATGGGCAAAGTACATTGGTATACTGGTGGTTACATACATTAACTGAAATATGTATTGCAAGCTAGACATCCACTACATTAACCTATATGGAAAATAGCATAGCAGTATGTCTGCACTACAAGATGCATATAGAGCACATATCCATTATTTCTATATTGTATTGTGTAATAACACAGAAATATAATTAATTTAGTGAATATTAGATAAAATATTTTGATAAAAGGATCACAAATAAACTATCAATCAAGGAATGAATCAGAAGTAATATTTCATTCTTTTTAAATTAAAAAACCCAAATTAGCATTTCACTTTATGATCAAATATAATTTAACTCACTGCATTGATTTAGTTTCAGGAAATACTGAGATGACAAAGTAAATATGAACACTTTCATGAAAGAGGTTTGACATTATAGAAAAATAAGAGAACTCACAATCTTGTACTGGGTGTTTTATTAACTATTACACATTTTCCAGTTTGATCAATGTTATGATCCAAACCAAAATAGGCAGCCACGCGGTGGACAAGCATTCTATCATATGAAGACATTGGTGGAAACTTTAAGAAAAGGTGCCTGAAATGAAATATTTCACAAAATTAGATGGAATAAATCAACATTTTTTATTCAGAATAATGTTGTTTTCCACTCAAAATTATTTTAATGCCTAAAAACATTAAGATATTTTTTGAGAACTTGTTTTAGTATTTAATAAAAATATGTGTTTAGAAATTACATCCAAATTGATTTTCTCTAAATTTACGGAGTAGAGACTGTCAAATAAATTACAAAAGTATGAATCTTTCAATGTAGATAAATGGCATCATTGAACTGAGCAACTGAACCCTCTTATCTGAAATAGAATATTTCACTTTCATTTCAAATAAAAAATATAACTTACCTTCATATCATTAACAATATACAATTTTATTTATTTATTTAATGGTTATATTGTTATGCTTACATCCCAATGAGGAAAAAACATTCATTTTACAGGTCTAACTGAAAAATAATTTCTCCTTACCATATTCATGTTTATTGATTTCTCTCTTTATCTTTAAATTGATGTTTTAAACAGTTAATCCAGGGATAGTAAGTCATTTAGAAACAGCATCATATTGACTATCTGATTTGTAGGCCTGAATAAACTTGGTTCAAACTCCTAAACAATATTCAGTTATCTTCACTATCAAGAGATAATGATGTGCAGTGTAATTTTCAAAAGCTTAAAAAAAATCCAAACATAACCTTCAGTAGCAAGGATTCACCTGCAGACTAAAAGTGAACATTATATATTTTGAAATATTACATTATATATTTTGTAAGATTTCAAAAATGTAGCACAAGGCCAAAAACTGGAGAGGAGGAGGAAAAAGCTGGTCTTCATTATCATTTATATTAACTCAGATAGTCGTATTTACTAATCCAAACAATCTTTATTATTTCTTTCACTATAATATTGCATTTATTTGAAACATTTTTGCAACAATACCAAAAATTCACTTTTTGCTGATGATAATAGAAATGAATACATATATTTATAATTCTTGTAGTAAAAGAAGTAAAGTAAATTGATTCAGATTTTACAATTTAAAAATAAATTTCCTTTAGTGATTTAAAATATGAACAAATATTTAATGAAAAATGCATTAGTATGTGAACCCCTACATGATCTAATAAAGCAGACAAAAACAAGTTAAATAGTAGGAAAATGAGGTGGGGAAATACAAAAATTAAAAATATAAAAATAATACAAAGCAAAACATTTTCACATCACCAGAGAATTTTGCTTATTATTATCTAATATGGAGAGGAAGTGAAAAATGGAAATGCAAGAAGGTAAAAGAGAAACAATGAGCATACACCCCTTTGCTAAGTTAAACTAGCTTTAATTGATTGTTTTTTAGAGCTTATCAACCCTTTGTGGGTTATTTAAAGTGAAACATATTTTAAATTGTAAGAATTTTTTATTTTTTTTAAAAAGAATGATTTATCCAGGTACAAGTCTTACTAGTTAACCTATAGCTTGAGGAAGGAGACGAATTCATACATTTTTCAAGGTTATTTACGTGTAACAACCTTGATTGGAATTCAAATTCAGCTTTCTCATTCAGAGTTGCTATCCAGTACATCACCCACTTAACTTTAACAAAAGAGAAACAAACCTATCTTAATTAGGTTAGGCCAACCTGTCTTTCAGAGAAGTGTAAAGCCTCTAATCAGACGCTCCAATATGCCAAATAAAAGTTAGCTTCATTCACATGACACAGTAGTGGAACATTATCTTTTGCTAAACACAAACTTATATCACACCAGCCTGATCTTAACTTGGTGCTTAAAATAGGTGGCAAAATAATGGAGAGAGAGAAACAAATCACTCCAATTAGCTTTCATATCAAGGATGAGCACAGGAACACAATTTTTCTTCTCAGGTGACAAACCTGTGTTGTTACAGATAGAAATAGTTTCCAAGGCAAAAAACTGCATTGAATACATTCTGGCAAAATAATCCTGCTGTGAATCCTTTTTCTGATCCATCTTTGTTCTTGGAAAGATGAAGACAATAGATCATGTGATGTGTCATGTGAGCCCCATTACCCCAAAGAAGTTTAAACAGAACTCACTCAAGCTCAGATTGTTTGGTATACAGGAGTGCAAATACTGAGAGTTGGTATTCTTTAGAGACAACAGATTGACTGATCCTCAAAGTTCTTCAATATCTCCATGACAATGCAGGTGGAGATGTGACCAGAATCAGAAACCAAGTATCTTACAGGGCATGTCTGTCCAATTGAATTGCCCAGGGAAAGGACAACTGCAAACAGACAGACTTATTATAGTTAATTTTGGTCTGATATTGTTCCATAAAATCAGATTTATTTGCTGAACTTAATCTCAGCATAGCTCCTTGCAAGCATGAGTGCCTGGTCAGGGTGGGTGTACCAAGTAATGTGATTCTATATAGTACCAGGTTCACTCCCAACTTTTACAGAAAAGGTTCACCTGTAAAAATGTACAGCATAGGCAAAAGCAGACAACTTTGAAGAATAAATCTGGTCAACATGAAAGGCTACAATCTTACCCCGTTCATTTCTACTATAGCCTTTGGGGTCACAGAGGTTAATCCAGGTGGTTTGGATCTGGATAGACAAGAGAGCCTCCAAAAAATGATGGTTAATGCTACAGAAGGCCAAAGATTGATAAGCTGATCAGTGCAGCTTTACCATCAACTTTATCAATGAGCATGTGTTACAAATACAGGTTATCGTGGATCATTCTACCTTTTAGAGAAAAATTCTTTTCATGAGCTATTAACCAATCAAGGATATCCTGCAATGGGTTTGTTAAGATCTTAACCAAAATCTATGTTTAACATAGTTATGGGTCAAAAAGTATTAATCAGTCTCCATCACATTGGTTCTTGCAATTGGTCCATGATGCAGTGTTAAAAAATACTCCTTTGCTTCATCGTAATTTTGTGTCTTAACTATCACTATTTTTTCTACCTTTCCTCATTTTACAACCTTGTCTACTCTATATTCAAATACTTTTTGTGCTGCTAACATGAATTGGTGGCTATGATCAACAACAAAAAAACCTCATGCTACTTTGGAGGTGATCTCACAACTTATTACTAACTAAAACTCTCATCAACTTCCATTTTTATCAACTATTTCCTGAAATACTTTCTATTCAACTTGGATGCATTAAATTTTCAATAATCATGTTAGGCTTGGGCTTATCTCAATTTATTAAAACCCAGACAAGCCTAAGGTCTGAATAAAGCAAGATAGAAGCTTAGACAAACTAAGATCCCTAAGTCAACTCTCCCCACTAAAACAAGATGATATTGGTAGAGTGTTGCATCATAACCAATCTGGCCCTCTCTGTACAAATCCACTTTACCTGCTTTGGATTTTCATTTTTAAATTTATTCACCAAATAAATAATTTGGTGATAAATATACAAAATATTTTAAAATATTAAAATAGAGGGATGTTAGCACTCCCACTAATCCTCCCATGGGCTAAAATGGGATCAAGGATGACATTTTAATTACCCACTAAAATTATTTATCTTTGATGATACCACAAAGGAATCAAACCACTTAAAAAAGACACCCCAAACCCAATGAGACAAAATGTTTATAGCACACACTGCTTATCAAATCTGAAAAGACAAGTAAACAAATAACACTTAAAGAGCAACCTAGAAGCCAATAGACACTTCTCAAGTGGCTATCAAAACATGCTGAGAAGTGGTAAAAGCTCATCAACAGAAAAAATTCATAGTCACTTTGAATAATATATTAATACCAACATACTGAAGATCACAGACAAGTCTTGCATTTTTAGACACTAACCATGGCCTTCAGTCATTCAAAAAAAAGATTACCAGAGAGCCATGATCAGTTCAACTAGGAAAAACATGCTGGGAGTGAGGACACTGATGCTTCATGAAACCTTGGCTCATTCTAGTTTTGATGGTGCCATGCTGTGATAACATTTGATATCCATTGGGAAGTTTAACTTTACTACTTATAGAGTGTATGCAAACAAAGACCCAAAACTGAACAATTTATTTAGGTTGTCAGATGTGTAGTTAGCCAATGGAAGCAACATTTCAAAGGCTTTCTTTGCCTCCTCCAGTCTAAGTCCAAATACATAAACCTTGAAGTTGTAAAGGACTCTCAAGTTCCTAAAGTGCTGTGGCTATAAATTATTTTTCTCCAGTATATCCAAGTTTACATGGCCACAAACATGTTAAAATTCATGTTTAATTTCTTTTTGTGTTATCCATTTTGTTCCTCTTTTTTTAAGAGGTTAAAGAGGTGCTTCCTTTTTTAGGTTATTGTGGAAATTTTGTGTGTGGAGTTGAAGATTTTGGAACCTGGGAGACTTGACTGGGTGAGGGTGAAGAAACAGGCACTGTGCAATGACTGTTTAAGCTGAGTCCATTTTGGTTTAGTAGCAGTACTAGTAGCTGCAGATTGCTGAGGATTACTTTGGAGGAAGATGCGGTATTGGAGGAGGCAGCCACACCTAATGTCTTTCCCTCTAATTGGTTCAATATTTTTTTTTTTTGGTAACAGGGTTTTATTTTTTAACTTTTCCAGGACTGGCACAGCCATTTCAACTTTTCACAATTAAGACATATGACAATGAGACCCTTCTGAAACTGTTATTTGGATGTAGGCTCCAAAATGGTTCCTGCAGCTAATATCTTTTTGCCACCACCTGCCACTCTCCCTCAGCAATGTTGTTTGGCGAGGAAGAATAACCCAATGTTTGACTGGATTTCCTAACCAGAGTTATTACTATTATAGGTTCCTTTTCAAAATCAAAGGTAGATGTCATCAATTTAGTCAATATTCCAACATGTGTCTTTGTTTCCATGGAAGCTACTGTCTACATGCTAGTCTCCTGTTTGGGACAATTACTGGAAGTTTCCAACCTTCAGCATGCAAGCAGTTAGGAATGGCATTGAAGACTTTCTGGTCATTATATAAAACCATCATTCCCTGCAAATTAAGCTGGGATTACCATTTCTCTATATTGGTGGAGGTTTCCAAATGA